AGCGCGCGTGCTGGTGACATTTCCGGCGCCGGAGTCCCCGCCCACGGCTTGCTCGTCCTCCACCGGCGCGGACCTCTGGGCAGGCGGTCAGGTACTTGGAGTTACTCTTATGAACCTGTTGGGACTTTGGGGGATTTGTAAGGGGTTTTGCTGCCCGAGCTCCCCGTCCGCTGGAGCCAGGCGGGGCTGTGGGCTGCGTCGCGGTGGCTTTTCTGGTCGCGCTTTCTGCTTTCTCCAGCACAGGCTATGCCACAGGCTGTGGGTCTTGCGGAAGCCTGAGGTCTTGAGGCAAATAGCGTAGTGCTGGTTAGCTCCCTGGAGATTTTATTGCTTCTTCTTAAAAACCTAGGTAACTCAGTGCCGCTTTGAGTAATGACGGGCGGGATCCACGCCCCTCCTTAGACCCACGGAATGGACCGAAGCGGGCGTGGGTGTTGCGTTCGGTCTTAGCCTCACTGGATGTCAGATGCGTTTCTTTAAGAAATTAGGAGTTGCTTTAACAAGGGTGTATGTAATGTAATTATGACTTGAGTTTTCCCATATTTTATCCTCCCTCTCCACCTCATAAGAACTGAGTCGGTAGCAAAAGTAAATAACCGTTTAAAAGTTTTACAAACGTTAAATATTGGAATAGTTTGATTCTTGGAGCAAAGAAAAGCAGCCCCCTTCTCCCCTGAAAGGGGCAACTTAAAGTAGTTGAACTAAGGGCACAGAAGATACTAGCTTTCCGTTTTGGTAATACATAACTTGGTTAAGTGCTGAAAGGTTAACTCAGCCCGTGCAGCTCTGGTCAGTGAATTTTGTTCCGTTTCCTGTGGGCCTATGCTATTAGAATTAAGGTTATTACCAAAGTGATTGGTTCAGCACTTTTGCTTATTATGCCAAGTAATGCCCAGAGCAGCCCCAATACAGTTGCGTCGTTGTTATCCTCATGGGACAAGGAAGGAAACGGACTTTTAGGGGGGCTGGGTAATTGCCCATTACTTCTTAGCTGCTAAGGGGTGGAGCTGGAGCGCGGACTCCCTCCTTCCTGCCTGTTGAGTTGTGCTAGTAACCACCTCTGACCCAGACCCTCCTTGCAGGTGCCCGCGGTGTAGTCTCTTTCCTGGACAGCGCGAGAGAGAACAATGCAGAAGGACTCCGGCCCACTGTAAGTGCACAGTGGGGGGCCGGGTGGGGGTGGGGACGGGGTGGAGTAGCCAAGAGCTTCTCAGACCGAGTTTTTGTCCCCAGTGGACTGCTGGGGCAGAATTGGGTGCAGGAGGATGGACACACAGGTCACGGTTTGAGCCCCGTCTCTGCCACTGACTATTTGTGTGACTTTAGGTTAGCCATCTAACCTCTGGGCTTTGTTTTCATTTCTACGGTGACAGCATTATTCTGTAATGAAGACCTTTTAGTCCCAGTCTGTGATTGTGGGTCTTTGTTTTTTTAAAGACATGGTTGGCACTGATGTTTTATTCTTGTTTCCAGAGTGCCTTTACATTGGATTGGCTTTGGCTATGCAGCACTGGTTGCTTCTGGTGGGATCATTGGCTATGCCAAAGCAGGTATGGTTTCTAGTGATTGACTTCTTAGGATCTTCACATTGTTCCTGGTGGAGAGTGAGTCCCCAGGGCCCCCAAAGCGCAGTCTTATTTGAATCAGGTTTGCTTTAGGCCCTCTAGCTTGAGTTCAGGCTTACTGTCAGTCCTGTAGCAATTCCTGTAGTGGCTGCTCCTGCACTTGCCTTTGGGTTGTCTGGCTGAGCTAAGCCAGGCTTCTTATCGAACCACTTGTTTTTGCCTCTTTGTCTAAAGGTGCTGGGCAGGAGTGGTAGCAGATTGTTATTATCGTCAGCTACCATTTGACCCCGAGTGCCATCTCTGTGCTCTTTTCTTTAAGTAGCAGGAAACGTCTAGTCTTCACATACTCAATTTTTGAAGTCTCCTTATTAAATTTGGCAGGGGTGTGTCAGCCCACATATTTCTACCCTGACACACACACACACACACACACACACACACACACACACACACCAGAATTCTTACTCTCCAAATAATTTTTTCATTTACTAACCATTTCCTTCTCCTTTTGGGATTTCCCCCAGTCTTTGACGGATTAACCAGGCCTGTTTAAGAGGCCTTCTTATTTTCCTTTCCTTTTCCTTTTCCTTTCCTTTCCTCTCCTTTCCTTTCCTTTCCTTTCCTTTCTTTTCCTTCCCTTTCTTCTTCTTTTTTTTTTAGATCAAAATGTTTTTATTTGAGACAGAAGAATGCAAAATTGCTGAGATACCAAACATATTTTCTCATCCGCTACAATACTGCCACTATGTACAAAAGATCTGATGATAAATGTGCACACATAAAAATACATGTGCATGGATAGTACATGTGTAAAATGTATGGCATTCAAACATGATATGGATTGATTTCAGGGGTGCAAACTGCAAATACAAATACATGTTTTTTTTTCTTTTAAAATACAACATAAAGGCAATACATGAATGGACCCCAAATTGCCATAATTTTTTGTTTCTTAAATGGGTGCTTTAATAAGGAGTAGGAGCCTTTCTTCTTTGGTGAAAGTACCCTCCCTACTAGAGGAGAGAGGAGTGCTCTGGTGTGGTGTGTGGTATGGTATGATCTGAGCCTTACTTCTCTGGTAATTTTACTTGAGCTCTTTAGCAAACTCCCCCCAACATTTTCATGCTTGAGAACTTGGTTGTGATCTGTGTTGGGAGTTCTCTTTGCTATTTTCCTTTGTCAGGAAGGGAAGGCTGGTGGATTCTGTCAATGAATGAGTGCCTGACACCACAATATGACGTGTGTTTGCTTTCCTCCAGGTAGCGTCCCATCCCTGGCTGCTGGGCTCCTCTTCGGTGGCTTAGCAGGCCTGGGTGCTTATCAGCTGTCTCAGGATCCAAGGAACATTTGGGTTTTCCTAGGTATGTCAGCTTCACGCCCTCCCGAGTCAGCTAGCTATCCAGAATACTCTACCACAGGCCCTAGTGTGGTGGGATGTGTCAGGTTCCTCACATTAAGACAGTTTCACTGCTTCTGCCCAGTTCAAGGGAGGTTTTTAAATGGTGAGGGAGGGAGATGGTTATGCTGGTTTCTGTTTTTATGTACAGAATGTGGAAAGGTTTTCATACCTCATGAATTTAGATTTACCCAGTGAAGTTAGTATTAGACTTATGTAAGGCAAGTATATGTCTCTTAATCATTGTGATTGCCCATTAAAGACTGTTTGAGCATCACTAAAGGGTCACGTGTCTGGGTTACGTTTTATCAATATTGCATTTCCCCCATTTTCAAATCATTAGCCCTTTGGCAGTAAGCTAACCATGGAAGAGGTAGGCCTTGCCTTCAAGGAGCCTGTGCGTAAAAAGTGACTCTGCGGGGCTGTTGATATGCCCGGTGAGTAGCACAGACAGTGAGGAGTGCAGGGGAGGGAAGATTACTTCTTATCAGGGTGGCTTTTGGTACATTTTATTGAGCTCCACCCATGTGTCTGACAGTCTGCTAGGAGTGTGGGTTCCTCAGTGTCTCCACAAACTCATAGTATGAGAGAACATGTGGCTCTAACTCCCTTACAAGTGTGGTGGAGAACAAGCATGTTAACAGAGTGGTTTGTACAAATCTGCCTGGGCTGGGGAGGGAAGGCGGCGATGGCTGGTGTGGGGTGTGCTAGGGAGGGAGGAGGTGCCCAGCTCTCAGCTCTGCCTAACAGCCCCCTCACTCCAGCTCCAGAATGACTTTCAGACCTACTTTCCCATTTGTGATCCCACATCACTCTAGCAAATGACCCTCATTGCCTAATTGAAGAAACAATAGCAGTCATCACACGGGGACTGCGAGCTTCATGACGTTGACCTCCAGTCCTTCCCTGGTCCTACTCCACTCCTCTCCAAGGCCAGACCCTTCATCCCAGTTTGGGTTTCTTCTGCCATACCTTCTTGGAACTTTACACGGTCACTGATGCCATCTCTTACTTGCATTCCACCTTGCAGACGGATTCCTCAAATTGATATTCAGATGTGCTCATCTCACCCATTTAAAAAAAAGAGGACCTTTCGTGAACCTACTTCCTTTTTCAGTTGCTGCCATTCTCCTTCCCCTTCAGAAACTTCTCTAGAAAAAGTTGTTATACTTCCTGTCTTCATTTCCACACCTCTCATACATTCTTGATCCACTTTAGTCTCCATTTCTGTACCTTTTGTCATGGAAATACGTAACTCTCTGAGGCTGCCAGTGACCTGTATTTTTCAAAATCCAGTGTATATTTATTAGTCATTTTATTTGGCCTTTTAGCTGCTCTCAATACAATATACCAATGCAATCCATTTTTCACTCTCCTGGTCTTCCTTTTTATTTTCTCGTTCTCTTTTGTTGACCCCTCTCCCCCTATTTTTGCCACTAAGTATTAAAGTACTTAAGGCCTGGGCCTTTTTTAAATTTTCTTTATACTTTCTTGCTTGACAATATCATTGAAGCCCAGGCCTTAAATTACCACCAATATACGGATGACTCACAAATTTATCTCTCCTCCAAGCTTGACTCTTTTTTAAAAAAAAATTTTTTTAATTGATTTCAGAGAGAAAGGGAGAAGCAGAGAGAGAGAAAAGCATCGATGATGAGAGAGAACATTGATTGGCTGCCCCTGCACGCCCCCTACTGGGGATCGAGCCCACAACCTTGCATGCATGTGCCCTTGACCAGAATCAAACCTGGGACCCTTGAGTCTGCAGGCCGAAGCTCTCTCCACTGAGCAAACTGGTTAGGGCCACGCTTGACTCATATTTGCACAGTTGTCTGCTTGAAATCTAGATGTCTCCAGGCCTGACTTCACTTGCTCACACACATTGTGTCTTCTGGTGTTCCCCCTCCATTCGGGTGTTGATTGCACTCTTCCCCTCTGTCATTCTAACTCAGGGGTGGGCAAACTTTTTGACTCGAGGGCCACAATGGGTTCTTAAACTGGACCGGAGGGCCGGAACAAAAGCATGGATGGAGTGTTTGTGTGAACTAATATAAATTCAAAGTAAACATCATTACATAAAAGGGTACGGTCTTTTTTTTTTTTTAGTTTTATTCATTTCAAACGGGCTGGATGCGGCCTGCGGGCCGTAGTTTGCCCACGGCTGTTCGAACTCATCAGCAAGTCGTATCAACACTACCTGGAACACATGTCCCAGATTATTTCCTCTACCTCCATGGCCACTCTTCTCATCCCAGGAATCCTCTCTTTTCCCTGCACTCCTGAGGAAGTTTCATATATATATATTATTGATTTTACAGAGAGGAAGGGAGAGAGATAGAGAGTTAGAAACATCGATGAGAGAGAAACATCGATCAGCTGCCTCCGGCACATCTCCTACTGGGGACGTGCCTGCAACCAAGGTACATGCCCTTGACCGGAATTGAACCTGGGACCTTTCAGCCCGCAGGCCAATGCTCTATCTACTGAGCCAAACCGGTTTCGGCGGAAGTTTCTTAATTGATATCCCTACATGCTCCAGTTTCCCTGCAGTTTGCTCTCCATGGTACAGATTGGCTGGGCCCGGACTGTGAGGGCCTTATATCTAGTATTTGTGCTTAGTCTCCCAGGACGTGGGTAATGAGGGGTCTGAGATGAGGTGTGGCACTTGAAAGAAGGGTGGGACTTTGGTCACTTATTTTAGTTCTCCCAAATACAAGATGTGGTGATCTTTGCCTCTTTTTCTTTCCCATCAGTTACATCTGGAACCTTAGCTGGCATTATGGGAATGAGATTCTACCACTCTGGAAAATTTATGCCTGCGGGCTTAATTGCAGGTGCCAGGTACTTTCTGTTCTGTTGCTGTTCTTTCCTACATAGATTTTAGTTTAATGCTCATAATACTTTATACACCCTCAGATTTACCTGTTTCAATATACCTGATGCTGGGCATCAACTAAAATGATCTCATTTATGCACAAATAGGAGAAACTGCAAAAATAGCTGATTTAATGGCAAAGTGAAAAAGTGGAATATATTCATTCACTATGGAAATAGTTTTGCTTTCACATTTGCTCTCTGGTCCATCCTGGCTCCTCCCTACAGAGGGAGAAGCCTCAGTGCTAAGCTATAACGGCTGCTCATTCAGTGTGGGTTCATATTTCTTAGTTGTTTGGATGCCCTTTATTATACAAAATTTCGCTAAAAGGAAATTTTTATTGATTCCTGTTTTCTAATTAACTGATTATAAAATCCAAACCAGATTTTTTTTTTAATGTAGTCCTAAGCATAGTAAAGAGACACTGAAGATAGGGGAATTTTTAAAACTCTGTTTTGGGAAAGGATTACCTATAGCTATGATTTTGGTTGTAGTTATAATGCTGTCAAGCAAAATGTTTTGTAGTCAGTGCAAACCGAGGTCAGGAGGAGTAAACCAGGAGGCTGCAGATCCACCATGAGCTAGTTCTGTGACCGTGGGGAGGCCTGGGTTTCCCTGCCCTCCAGTTTTCTCATCTCTGAATTATTGGCAGTGAGATCAGGATCGCCAGCTGTACGTACTGTTTTAAGGCCTCAGCACAAGACTGCCCCGCGGCATGTTTTTTCTTTGGTGCCCCCAGGGATGGAAGTCCCATCTCTGCCTGCTTGGCACCTGCTCACTGTGTGGTGAGAGACCCGCAGAATCCTAATCCTTTAAAAAAATAGTAAGTGCCTGTTCTGTTCTTTACCTGACATTTTTGCTTTGTGTTGTTGTTTTTTTAACAGTTTGCTGATGGTCGCCAAACTTGGAATTAGTGTGTTCAGCAAACCCCATTAGTCATAGTCATGTCCCAGCTTGGACTCAAGAAGAATTTAAGAACTTCCACTATTTTTAGTCTATTAGGAGAAATAAATGCAGCATTTTCACATATACTGACATTTTACTTAAAAAAAAAAAAAAGATACTGACTCTGCAGGGGAAAATATTAGTCATTATTATTACAGTCCTAGAGAGGTGGGTATCCTACAACATAAATGCTTATTGTTATAATACCCTCATATAATTTGATTCTTGTATGTTGACATTATTTCTTCTTTTTGTATTTTTACATAAATCTCAAGGGGTAAATGTTAAGTGTCAACATTGGGACCCTGAAACCCCATACCCTACCTAGAGAAACTGTGTATCTGTTCTTTTGTTCATCTTAGAGCACAGACCTAACTTTGAAATTACGTTAAATGAAATATCAGTGAAAATAAAATTTACTATAAATAATATTTTCTGTGGTGTCTTCATTGCCAGAGCTGCCTGGAACATAAAGTGAGATTTGAATAGTAGGAAGATAGAGGAAAATGAAAATTTTAAAAATATCTTATTTAGGGGTTACCGTTTTAAAAAATTGAAGGACCAAGGAAAGTTATTATTTGATTATAGATTTCTTTGAAGCTGGTTTTAAAAATGACCTGTAGTAAGAATTTCTAAGATTAGGGCTATGTAAACAAAAGAAAAAATGAAATTTTGGTTAACTAGTTAATCTATAAATGTGAAACTAAAAGATCTACCTGGAACTTGAATTACCTAGGTGGGTCTCTGCTTTGGAGACACTAACTGTATATTGATACATCTTCAGTTCACTTTTTTTTTCAGCATTGGGAATTAACTCACTCTGGACTCCTTATTTTAGTTTCTCTCTCTTTAAAGAGCAGGGGATATTTGCTACTTACCTCCAACCTAACTGGTATTGGTTGGATTTAGAGTATAATTTAGTCACCTGTTAATTTTACATATTTGCTTACGCTTCCTGAAAGGTGTCCTAGTTTTCTCTTCCTTGTTTTATGTGACATGTCTGCCAGGGCCCATTCTTACAGTATCGTGCCCAGGGCTGTACCCAAGGGGTGTGACAAGAGCACTGTATTTTAGACCATGCATTTCTGTCAGTGCACCCAGGATCAAAATAAGGTTTTTGGACAGCCCCGTCTCAGCAATGACTCATTGAGCTTCGGTCTACTGAGGCCTCAGTTCTTTTTCTTGAATACTGCTGTTAATAACTGGATAGTGAAGGGATTAGTACTTGATGTCACATACTTGCAAAACACTTAAAAATTTTTTTTCCCATAGTTCTGGTGTAGTCTGTGATTATATTTTATCATATAATTAGTAGTTCATGGGGAACTTTTTTTCTGCTAAGGGCCATTTGGATATTTATAATGTCACTAGAGGCCCAGTGCATGAAATTCATATACTAGGGGTGGGGGTGAGGGGTCCCTCAGCCTGGATTGCAAGAGGGCACAGGCCAGGCCAAGGGACCCCACTGGTGCATGATGTTTGACTGCCGGTTTAGGCCCGATTCTATAGGGCAGTCAGACATCCCCCTTGCAATCTGGTACCGTTGGCTCCTAACTGCTCAACCTGCCTGCCTGCCTGATCCCCCCTAACTGCCTGTGCCTGCCTGCTTGATCGCCCCTAACCGTGCTCCCCTGCCGGCCTGATTGCCCCTAACTGCTCTCCCTGCCTGCCTGATTGCCCCTAACCACCTCTGTCTGGGCCCCCGCCACCGTGGCTTTGTCTGGAAAGACGTCAGAAGATGTCTGGTCTATCTGGTCTAATTAGCATATTATCCTTTTATTAGTGTAGATTTACAAGCTATACAAAATTATCAACTTAAAAATTAACCTGCTATAGTCCTGACTGGTTTGGCTCAGTGGATAGAGCGTCAGCCTGCGGACTGACGGGTCCCAGGGTCGATTCCAGTCAAGGGCATGTACCTTGGTTGCAGGCTCATCCCCAGTGGGGAGTGTGCAGGAAGCAGCTGATTGATGTTTCTCTCTCATCGATGTTTCTAGCTCTCTATCCCTCTCCCTTCCTCTCTGTAAAAAACCAATAAAAATATGTTAAAAAAAATGAACCTGCTATATTTGGTCAAGCATTTAATTAACTCACCTCTAATACCTTGACAGGGCCAGACCAAATGATTTCCCGTCCTTATCTGGCCCGCAGGTTAGACATTTCCCACTCTTGGTTTAAATAATGACAGAAACATTTACAACTAGTTCACTGATATGTGGTATGATTTCATGCCCTGGTAAATCCTGTTATGGTCTTCTACACATCAGTCTTGTATAATCTAAGGAAAATGGACTAAGCAAATCAAGTAGGCAGAACATTTTATTTTTGATATTTTAAAAATTGATTTTTAGGAAAATGTGTTTGGGAGAAAAGAAACAATTGGTATAGTTAGAGAGTGTTACAAAGGGTGGAGCACCCACAGGTGGCCTGAGTCTTGAGCAGAGAAGAGCTGTCTGTGTATAGTGTATGTTTACAGAGCAAACCTTCATCATTATGCTCATTTCCTAAAACCCTGTTGTATGAGGGCCAGGTAGAAGGGAACATCAGTTATGACTTGCTACTCCCCAAATATTTGAATCAAATGAATTGTAAGGGCTGAGGTACAGCAAAAGAGTGTTCTAAATAAAAAAGCAATCCTTGGCCGGCCAGCATGGCTGAGTGGTTGAGTGTTGACCTAAGAATCAGGAGGTCATAGTTTGATTCCCGGTCAGGGCACATGCCCAGGTTGTGGGCTTGAGCTGATCAATGATTCTCTCTCATCATTGATGTTTCTACCTCTCTCCCTCTCTCCCTTCCTCTCTGAAATCAATAAAAATACATTAAAAACAATGCTCATTCTATATTCATCAGAAAGACTTATTTTGGGTTCTAAGGGCTCTTGAGTGGTTGTCATGGTAGCTACTTAAAACATTATAGTGTGGACGAAAGGGGCCACATCCTAACCTGACAAGCTCAGGGGAGGCCTGCATGGTGGTCTTGCAAACTCAGAGACCTAAAGTAACCACAAAGGATGGTCTGAAATTAAACTTTAACTAAAAGCATTTATGGTGGGTAGTTACGTCCTAGGCTGGTATCTTCACTGACAAGGTCAACCTTTATCTTAACTGAGCCTATCTGTCTTTTTGCATCTATAATTACATACCCTTGAAATGTCTGGGTAACTTATAACTTCCCTTTTTCTGGACCCCTTGGGGCACAACCTAATGTGCTGGGTGCCAGGATAGAGACCACAAATTCCTTCATGATTATCATGTTAAATGTTCCTGCACCCACCTGAGTATGTCTATCATTTTACTTTTTATCCAATCCCAGGGGTTCCCCTCCCCGCCCCCTCATCTCTCCCCGCCCTCCTCCTCCACACCCCGCCCCGGTTTGCTTTCTCTTGCCTCTCTAGTCTATCACCAATGGATTTCATGTAACCCACCTAGTCCCTTCCTTTGATTTCAATGTATAAATATATAGGTAACCCGCCATTCTCCAGAGCATTATCTCAATTTGTTGAAGTTCTGCTTCCTGGCATATGTTGACAGTTTGGCTCAAACTCACAAAAATTCTTCACAGGTTTCAACTTTTTTTACATTAACAATAGTTAAATGTATTTAATAATCCTTGTCAATATTTTATATCCTCCAAACCCAGTCACATGTGTATGTATGCCTGTGACATGTGCATGTATGTGTGCACGCACACACAAATCCTTGGCTGTTGACAATTAAGGGGACTTGTGATGATATAAGCATCAGAAAACCATAGACATCTAAAGCTACCATCCTTCCTGGCTTCCACAGATATTTTGAATCATGATGTTGCCCTGGTTTTTCATATGGCTGGAGTATTTCCAGAGAGCATCAGCTTTGGCCTCCTGTTCTAGGGAAGGGACTCTAACATTAGACTGACAAGATTCCCTGAAGGTGTGATTAGTGTAGATCTAAAGTAGATCACCACTGGTAAGTTCTGACAGTTCCAAGGTTGCTCACAGACTGGGGTGGTGAGGCAGGGGAAAAAGGGGGGAGCCTTCATTGCCAGGCAGCCCTGACAGTGCCCTTGCCAAGTGCCTCCTCTCTTCCTCAGCAACGTGTCCTGAGTACTTACTGTCCTAAGGTTGTGCTGGGTCCTAGAAGGAAAAGACCAACATAGCTTGCATTCATGGAATCTAGTGGAGAAGACTGACATCTAAACAAAGGCAATGTAGAAATAAATGCATAACAGAGATAAATATACATTACCATGGGGCACCAAAAAAGGAGTGGTAAATTCTGTTTAGGGCAGTGATTTCCAATCCTTTTCATCTCATTGCACACATAAAGGAATTACTAAAATTCCAAAAAACATAGCTATAATTTTGATTCATTCACATCATTGATTAAAAAAACACATATATTTATTGATATCAGAGTGGGAGAGATAGAAACATCAATGATGGGAGAGAATCATTGATTGGCTGCCTCCTGCATGCACCACACTGGGGATCGAGCCCGAAACCTGGGCATGTGCCCTGACTGGTAATCAAATGAACCAAGACCTCCTGGTTCATAGGTCGACAATCACTGGGCCATGCTGGCCAGGCCTGTGTTCTTTATTAATGCTATGTCATTCTTCATAATTACTATATCTTCGCTCATGCTGTTGAGTATCTTTGTCATCATTATTCTGAACTCTGTATCTGATAAATTTCTTATCTCCATTTCATTTATCTCCTCTTCTGGAGAATTCTCTTGTTCTTTCATTTGGGGGGGGGGTTGTCTCCCCATTTTGGCTGCCTGTTTGGGTTTGTGTCTGTATATTATGTAGATCTGCTAAGACTTTTAATCTCTAGTGCAGGACGATGTCAGATGCTGTTTCTGTCTGGCCCTGAGTACGCTGCTTGGAGCAATCAGCAAGTCACAGCTTGTGGCTCCCTCTGCTGGGGCTGGGTGTCTGGAAAGGACCAAGATGTGCATGCACCAGAGTCTGCTTTTCCTAGCGCCAGGCTCAGGAGATCAGGCAAAGACTCTCTTATTTCTTATTTTATACTTTTATCTTTACTAGTAATTCTTTTTTAAGTTATTGCTATTTTTTCTAATTTTGTAAGCTAACTGGTCAAATTCAGCATATTTTTAATGTTCCTTGATTTTTTTTATAAGTGGATTAAGTGTATACTTTTCCTCAGATCTAGTTTGGCTGAATTTGACAAGTTTTAATACAGAGGTTTATCATTGTTCATTTCTAAGGGGCATCTTTCATTTTTTTATTTTGACTTTTCTTTTGGGAAGGTTTTGATTACTTAGCCTTCGTATTCATTATTGGTCTGTTTAGATTTTCTATTTCTTTCTGATTTAGTCTTGGAAGGTGTCTAGACATGTTTCCAGGAATTTATCCATTCTGTCTAGGTTGTCTAATTTGTTGGCATACAGTTATTCATATAGATGCCTTTCTTATTCATCTTTTCCTTGTTTATTCCTGTTCCACTAGACCCTCAGATAATAACACACGTATTCAACACAATTATGTGTGCATCCAGCTTGGAGAGCAGTGCCGACCATTCTGATGCCCTCGCAACCCTAGGCCCCTCTTCCCAGCCATGGTCTCATACTCTAACCTTTGCTTTTAGATTATTAGATTTCATCTTTGCTCTTGTGTATTATCTGTGTTGCTTTCCCCAATTAATATTCTGTGGTAATGTAATAGTGTTTGAGAAGAAAGGTTCTAATAGTAAGACTATCTGGGCTCAACTTCCAGCTTTGCTGCCCACTGAGATCTCTTAGTCTTCATTCCCTCCTCTGAAAAAGGAAGAAACAGTAGTTTTCTAGGTATCATGAAACGTAAATGAGAGATAAAACAGAGTGTCTCCAATGGCCAGATCTGTCTCCCAAAGAGATTGGGGTTGGGGGTGGCGGGGGTGTTATTTAGGGCAGGAAAGGGGTCTTTTGAAAATTTTTTAAAGCCTCTTTGGCTGTGACCTCCTCTTTGTGTAGGTGAGTCCCACAGTCACTCTTGATGCAGCGTGCTGTTGGGGAACAGTGGACTATTATTTAGTGATAAACAGAAATGAGATATTAAGCCAAGGAACGACATGGAGGAAACTTAAATGTATATTAAGTGAAAGAAGCCAACTACATGGTATTGTGGATAAAGAAAAACTATAAAGACAAAAGGATCAGTGGTTGCCAGAGGTTTGAGTTGGGGAGGGAAGGATGATGGGTAGAGCACCAGGGATTTTTAGGGCAGTGAAACTGTTCTGTATAGTACTATAATGATGGATACATGTCATTATACATTTTTGACACATATACCACACAAAGCATTCACCCTAATGTAAGCTATGGGCTTTAGTTAATAATGTGTCAATATTGGTTCATCAGTTATAACAATTGTCACACACTAATGAAAGATGTTAATAGGGGAAATTTGAGGAGAGGGTGATGAGGGAGTATATATGGAAACTGTACTTTCCAATCAATTTTTTTATAAACTTAAAACTGCTAGAAAAAAAACCCAACCTCACAGCTAACTAATTAAAACATTAAATAAGCCTCAAAATATAAGTATAAAGTTTAAAAATGTAAAGAAAAGACACTAGTTAATCATATTAATTTTAATATCTTTTAAGAGTTTAAACAGTCTCAGCAAAATAATTTTTTAGCTTTGAGACAGTAATGAAAACTGTACAAATATATATAACCATTACCACCAACATAAATTCTTTAGATTTTAATATTTTTCAACAAGGAGAGCTGAGTCTTCTGTATAAAAATACCGTATTATTACTATAATGTGCCTTTGGATAATGTTCACAAGATGATATAGATTATGTTAACATTTACTACAAAGTCATAAAATACATAAAATTATTAGGAGTTGATAACATGACTCTTTTAAAAGAATATACAGTACTGATATCCAGTCCATAAAATGGCAGGTTTAAATAAAGTTGTCATAAGTTCAAAATGTCTATTTTAAAAACAAATTTAGAAAGAAAACTTAAGACAAAAAATGGACTAAGTGAAATCACTGCTATAGCAGCAACTGAATGCATTTGCTCTTCAGAGCACATGTGAGTGCTCTGAGTTAGTGCTGAGTCAATGATCAGCAGTGAGTTTTCTTTGGGGAACCAGCTGACATCCTATCACCCTTATGTCCAATAGGAACACAGAAACAAACATATTTTGAAAGTCTGATGAACACACATCACAGTTTTACGAACTTTCTTGATGTGAACATAGGAGAACCTTGACTTGGTTCATTTGGGAGTCATCAAGCCATTGGGTTTGATAGTTATTACGAATTCATAGCAATTGTATTGGTCAAAATTAAACAATAGGCTCTTTTCCCACTAAAATCAGATGGCATAATTTTGAAATCTCTATGTTAAAGATAAATTTATTTCTAAGAAATACATGCTGCTCAAGATTGGCATTATCATTGCTTCTGTAATTTCAAAGTAGACAAACAAATGATAAGTTACATGTTCCTGCCATTGTTGAAGTGGTAGAGTAGAGCTGTGGCCAAGTAAGAACTATAAGTGACAGCCCACAACACTACCTAATTGCTATAAAAAACAAAAACACAACAAACCTCTGAGGCCAAAGGATGAAATATTAAGTAGTTTAGGCAAATGGACAACACATGAAAACTAAACACTTCTGGATGCATTTTTAAAAAAGCTTCTCGTACTTAGTATCTATTAATTTGTATATCAAGTACTTGATACTTTGGCAAATAGTTTATTCAATACTTTGTAAAGTCCTACCCATGTATCAGTCCTACCCATATATGGGCAACAAAGCCAAGAAAATGCATTTTATTTTTAGGAAAGAAAATAGGAGATGAATTTTGCTCTTCAAAGTACCACTATTACATAGTTCTTCTGGAAGTCAGTAGAAGTAGACATCTGTAGACACTTCCCAGGGTCAGAGGACTCTGGGGCAGTGCTATGGGGCTTCACAGCAGGCTCCTACCGGTGGCCTCCGTACTTGGCCACCCAATCTGTCCTCCCATGCACTGAGGGAACTGGCTGTGCACGATTCACAATATTGATGTTCTTGGCTGTAGGATTGTAAGTAGGTCCTGAAAATTGCCCCCGACCACTTGTGTTCCAGGTATATTCTGAAAGAAATCAGAATCAGAAATTAGAATGTTTTATTTGATAATTAACTTCAAAATAAAGCAATCATCCTCTCATTTTGTGGGGAAATTTTGAATTTATCTTTTTTAAAAAAATATATTTTTATTGATTTCAGAGAGGAAGGGAGAGGGAGAGAGTGATGGAAACACCAATGATGAGAGAGAAACATTGATTGGCTGCCTCCTGCATGCCCCCTACTGGGGATCGAGCCCACAACCCAGGCATGTACCCTTGACCGGAATCGAACCCACGACCCTTCAGGGGGCAGGTCGATGCTCTATCCACTGAGCCAAGCCGGCTATGGCTGAATTTATCGTTAAAAGATTAATTTGGTGGTCTCTAAGGGTTTTTTTTAAATATTAAAACTAGAAATTCTAGTGTAGTATTTTGTTGACACCAGTTGGAATTTTCAGTAGCTTCAGAGCTATTTCTTTTGGTTTACAGTTCTGATACTGCTGCTCTTTCTGACTTGAGTTGCGACTGTCCATCACGTTTAGATAGGGAACACCCAACTAAGATGACCAAGTTCAAGTTCAATGAGCAGTATGCATAGTGTTAGTGTCTTCATAAAATTGCACTGTGGTAACATCTAAGAAATCTTCAAACACAGTATGACAGAAAATGTATTCAGAATTGTGAATCCTGTAAAGTACTGGCTTCGTGCAGCTACAAGTAGATTTCTTTTTAAACATTAAAATGTAGTTTTTAGAGTCAAACTTAATTTTTTATTGGCAAAAGGATGGATGATAACAGAATCCCTCTAAAAGGTGAGCCATTCCTAGGATTCCAAACCTTTCATCACAAGGTTTGTTATACATTTGGCTGAGTGAAATTTTATATTGTTGAATATTTGTTATCTGAACAATTTGTTAAAATTGCTTGAATATCTCAAATGACAAAGCAGTAAGTCACTTTACAGCAGGGGTCCTCAAACTTTTTAAACAGGGGGCTAGTTCACTGTCCCTCAGACCGTTGGAGGGCCGGACTATAGTTTAACAAAAACTATGAACAAATTCCTATGCGCACTGCACATATCTTATTTTGAAGTAAAAAAACAAAACAGGAACAAATACAATATTTGTATTTGCATGTGGCCCGCGGGCCATAGTTTGAGGACCCCTGCTTTACAGAAACTTCAGTATCTTCAGTCCCTCCTTCACCCCCTCACTTCAAACTGCAAGCTAGATAGGTGTCAGGTATTCTCTCTAAGGAGGGTTGTTTGATCTTTCCATTTGGGATTTAAATATCTTTTCACACTGTGTGGCTGCTGTCATTTCGGATTAAACTCTGAGTCCATTTTGAAGGGAGTCTGACCATTTTGTATACCTAACATAAATAGGTATGCTCTACCTGTGTGGTGTCCCTGGTTTTTCTTTATTTCACTGTAACATTGGGAATGTAGGAGGAACTTATGGGAGCATGTGGGTCCTGATGTGCTGCTAACAGTTTAAAGTGAACAAAACATTAAGTGAGGAACCACCCTGGTGACAATCACTGTCTGTTGTGTAGACTGGTTGGGACAGAGAGTCCAAGAGCCCTCCCCTTGGTGGTTGGACAGATCATTTCATCCTACTCTTAACTCATTTTTAAAATCCTCACAGGTGAAGCCAATAAAAGCGACCTCACAAAGGCAGGGATAAGGTATCTAGAAGGCAGTTAAATACATCCTGGTGTCCAGGCCATCTCTTTAGTTCGGACCCCTAACACAGATGAGCATCAGTCTGTTCATTCAGCCAGCTGGTACCCCCAGCAGGGGAGAGAGCGAGTTAAGGGGATGGGAGTGGAGGGAGGAGGGGAAGAGAGGCCATGAGCCCAGGTGATTCAGAGAAGGGGAATGGGGACCGATTCTTAAGTTAACACTGGTGGGAAGTCAGGGGATTGGGGAGTGAAAATTGGACAAGCTTTTTCGCAGGTCCTGACAGCCAAAGTTGGGTCCTCAATGCATTTGAAGGAAACTGTGTCCAGGCGGAGATTTGTAAAACCTTCAAAAAAGGAATCATTTTGCCAAGAAGGCAAATGCTGACATTTAGGATTCCTTTCTGAGAAGTAATAGTTTTAGGACTCAAGTACCTTTGGTCAAGAACTAGTCACCAACAAAGGAGGCCAGATCACACGACAGGGCAAAAAATGTTTTTGTGCCTTAGCTGGACCACGCTCTGCGTGGCACCCCTCCCAGCAGGGGCACAGTCAGTCCCCTAATCCTTGCTGTGCATTTACTTTAAAAACTGCAGGTGTCCTATTAAGGGCATTTCACTTCCTGTACACAATGCCTGCTGAAGGAAAAGGTGGCTACCTCTAGTCAAGGATTTAACCAGTGCCACTACTATATAACTTTTAGCAAGATTAAAAGAAACCTCTAAAATGGAGATCATACAGGGTAGGGGAAAGTAGGTTTACAGTTGTTTGTATGGAAAATAATACAAGAATAAATAATATAAGAATAAGTTCTGTGCTTTTTGTACTCATGACTGTAAACCTACTTTTGCCCCACCCTGTAGTAACTTCTGTAACGGAGTCATTGGGAGGGTTAAATGAGTTGATGTATATAGAGCTCTTAGAACAGGGCCCTACAGGGCGGCTCTATATGAAAGAAGTCACCCCTCAAGTCTGTGTTACTGTCAAGGCAGGGGGTGTGGAGGTTTTAGCAGGATTTGTGATGAGAGATTACATGGGAGGAAGAAAGAAATTTGACTTTTTTTCCTCTCAAAATTTGAGAGTAAGGAAGAGAAACAGCGGAAAAAGAGACTGAGAGAGGAGGGAAATAGTTGAGTAAACATGGTAATGACCTGTTTGTTTTCCCGGGGAAACTGTGACACAGGTGGGAGGGCTGGAGGACACAGCTTACAGAACAGTGTTTCCTAAGGATCTGCACTGACCACTTGAGAATGATTAGTATTTACTTCTTTTTGTCCCTTTCCTCCTATCACCACCTGTAGGAAAATCTGATAAGCAGAGTAAATGAAGAGATGAAAAGTTACGAGGAAGCATTTACTTTAAAAATGAAAACAGGAATATGCATGCTAATCTGACAGAATAATTCATAAAAAGCTCTTCGATATCTTAAAATATGTTTAAAAAGACCCATTTTCACCCTCTAAAAGCAGGTACTCAGGTAACAAAATTAATTGAAACATTATGACTTTTTGCTTTTACATTAAAAATTGCTACTGCCTGGCCAGTGTGGCTCAGTGGTTGAGCATTGACCTGTGAACCAGGAGGTCATGGTTCGATTCCTGGTCAGGGTACATGCCCAGGTTGTGGGCTCAATTCCCAGTAGGGGGCATGCAAAAGGCAGCAGAATAATAATTCTCTCTCACTAATATGCTTCTTTCTTTCCTCTCTGAAATCAATAAAAATATCCTTTAAAAAATTTGCTACTAAACCATGGCTAATAGGCTGGCTTAAAAATTTGAGGCTTTATAAAAATTACTGCTTTATATAAGATGTTTACATATTTTGTTTCAGCAGAGAGGTAATGAGGCAGTTCTTTCCACAGCTAAGGTAATTGAGTACTGTTTAAGCAGCTGTGATAAGAAATAAAAAATTACAAAAGTTCAATGCTTTTTATAATTTTAGCTCCAATGGTGTAAACTTTTGAGATTGGCAACTCCTACTGGAGTTTTCATGTAAGATCCTGGTTAGGACAGGATGTGAGAATACTTTTGGAGTCAACTTTTAAACTAAACTACAACTAGTATCTTACCAAACTTCTGATTATCCACCTTAGTGTTTATTTTAGGTGCTTTAAATCGGATATCTACTTTAGATGACCATAATTTAGAGAACGTTCCTAGTCAAATCTGGTCAGCTCAGTACAAAATCATCACCCCAATTTCATGAGTGATCCCTGACTGTGGCTGTCACATGCCACACCACCGCAGAGCAGGCGACCTGGAAAGTCATACACCGCAGGCTGGAGGGACACACCCTCTCACCACCCGCAAAGCGGAGGCCAGTGAAAGCTCTGCCACAGTTCAGTTCCGTGCTCCCAAGTGGGACCGCAGAGGAGGCCTGTTAACGGATACGTAACAGACGCTCGTCATTCATTAAGCTTCCATGCTGCCTGGCCCTGGGCGGGCGGCTCTGAAAAATGCATCTTCTCACGTCTCATGATGCAGCACAGCACTCTTTGGAATCAGACAGTTTCTATCTGGCTCCACCAGTTACGAGCTGTGTGACCTCAGGTGAATTACTTAATGTCAATTCCCTGGTCTGTAAAAGAGCTGCCACCAGGTCCTTAGGAGGGCTGCATGGTACAGTCTGTGCATCTAGCTAAGTAACCACTTAATTAGAGGGAGCTCTTAAGTACTGGACGCTCAAACCACAGCTTTGGAAGAAAAACAGGACATTTTGCCAAGAACAGTTAAAACTGTTGTTAATATGGTGAGACCAGACTAAACTTCTTCACTTGGGAAAAGTGACGGCGGGAACACTGAAAAGCTCGTGTCTGAGCAGAACCCTCACACACACACCTGAAGCCATTCTTACCTGGAGCCGCTGTGCTGAGAGGCGCTAAGTGTATCCTCTGGCCAGCTGACCCCACTTCTTTCTTGAGAAAGGAAGGAGTGTATCCTGACTGACCGTAAGTAGCGTAACTTCCACGATTTCCTAGTGACGTGTCATAAAGTTTCACTGTCAGAAGGAGAATATTTTACAGCACTAGAGAGAGTAACTTTGAATACTACCCCTACTAATTCTACGGTCTATCTTTGAGCAGCTGCTAGATTCCAGGCACAGCACTATGCTTTGACATATTCCTACTCAGTCCATACAACAACCCTCTTAGATGCGTATTATTATCCACACCTGCGGCTCTTAGACTTTGCCGAAGTTCTCGCAGCTGACAAGTGACCAAGCTAAAATCTTAACCAGAGGCTGAGTTCCCCTGAACATACCAGGTTTTTTGGCTCCAGTTCTTAACATGGGGATGTCTCCGGCCAGAAGCCCCCTCCCTGCGGTGCCCTGTGCTCCTCTTCATTTCGTAAAATCTCTGTGATAGTGAACTATTCTCAGGGTTGTTGTAGGGACTGAATGAGATGCATGCAAAACACTGAGCACAGAATCTGTGTTCAGCAAGTGTCGGCTGTCCTCCTCCTCCTCATCATCACTATTAGTGAATGACCAATCGAGGGGCAGCACAGGGATGGGTTGAATGGGGAAATCTAAGGTAGGAGACCAGTTAGAAGGGCACTGCTAGAACTGAAGGCGAGGTTATGAAGGTCTGAACTAACGCAGTCAGAGGGGACGGATTGGCAACTCAGTGGGTATACGGGGTGAAAGGGGAAAGAGAGAAATATAAATGTCTGACATGTCGGTGACTAAGGCCAACAATATGAGGAGAATCAGGTGTTAGGGAAGATACGGGGCCTGTGGGGTATTCAAGTCACAGAGATGGAGCAGGTGAGAGGTTTGGAGTGACCAGGTAGGGCGGTCATGGGGCTGCGGGCCTGAAAGAGTCAGAAGGATTGCAAGATGAGCCAAGACCCAGGGTAGAACCCCAGGGAGCACCAGCACTGGGGAAGGAAGGGACCCGGTGGAGGAGAGAGAATAAAAAGGTAGATGGTAGGAAGAGCAGGCTCTAAAAAATCAAGAGGACACAGCGTGTGAAGACAGGAGTAGCAGACGAGGTGCAGAGGTCTGGAGGGGCAGCACTGCCCTGCGGATCTGGCCGCCAGGATAATGCCAGGACCTAGTGGGAGCTGCTGCAGAAGCCTGAGGGTAAAAACTCCAGGGAGCTGAGCAACCTGGGAATATGAGGGAAAACCACCACAGCTGCTCTTTTAAGGAGCATAGCTGTGCAGGAGAGGAGACCTGGCAGAGGAGAGGTGAGACGGTGCTCATAGCTTTGGGGCTTCAAAGATCTGTTCATGTGGTAGCTACCACGGGAGCACGCTTTACATGTGTGACCTGTTCACCGGTCTGGACTCCGACCTCCCGTGTCCCTGATGTCTGCCACGGGGCTGTGCACAGTAGGCTCGCAATAAGTGTTTGCTCTTGAACCAAAAAATGTCAACAAGCTACTTCTCAGACCCTAAAGGATTTTACACAGTAAAATCAATTGATACAATTTTTAACAATACTGAATTTGGCATAAGCACCGCAGTCTCATTGGACCCTTCTTTTCCCTCCAATACTCATTTTAAATCACTTCAAAAGGCTTTTTGAAAAGAAGTTCAAGGCAGTGGTCACATTTAGTAGCAACTTCAGAACATCTCTCTTGCTCTTATCCTCATCATCAGAGCAAACACTTACTAAACACTGTTTGACAAAAATCCTAGGAATGGCTATATAATAACACCTGGGTAAATACTATTTCCTCCATTTTATAGACGGGGAAACTGATTTAGGGACCCTACGTAACCCATCCAAAATGGCAAGGCTGGTAACAGAATGGGGGGTGTCGGACTCTAAAAGCCACACACTGAACGTCCTAGGAGGCTTCTGCCTATTGGAGGAAGAAGTTGCTTAGGAAAAATGTGTAGAAAATGACCTAAAAAGAAGTCTTCTTAAATTATTTTGGCTTATCACATGAAGTACCTTTTGAGCTGCCAATTTTCAGGTTGGAGCCAATAGTCAGCACTGTTTAAACTAAAGCAGCAACACAAATGCACCATCTCTATTAACCTGGGCAACCTTTTCTTTTTAATGATTGTTAATGCTTAAGAAATAAGTTTCAAAACTTTAAAAAATACAGGAATATCTATTACAAAGTTAGAGAATATCTTTTTCAGTAGACTTACTTAATTTGTATAAATTGTCATAATTTAAGAAGACAAGCATAGAGCTTCAGAGCCCCAACTACTGCAGAGAGGTGTTCCTGATGTGGAATGTGTCCCTTCTCCACCTGATCTGGCTCCGAGAACAGGAGATCTTGCCCTTCACAGTGGCCTTTTATGACAAGATTTGGGGTAAATGTTGAGAAGGAAATTGAACAAGAGGTTCAAAGAACAAGTTGCACTCATCTATAATGCCCAGAATTACCTTGTGGGTCCTCTAATTTCTCAGGAAAACTTTCATTGCATGATAGTTTTTCAATTGGTTTAATTATGCTTTCTTCTACAGAGAAGGCAGATGGAAAGAAAGAATAATAAGGAAAATGTTTTAAGAAAAGCAGAGAAAAATGGATTAGATGATTAATGAAAAGATCCATAAAGAACCCTTACTATGAAAAAATCTCATGTGTTATCACAGCTTTCGTTTGATGGCAAAGTTGCAGTGCTGTCATTTGCACTGATTTGTATTTAAGTGGTTGGTTCAATAAACAGTATTTTTTTTAAACTGAGAAAAAAATAAGTAAATTACAGTGCTGCAATGTTGACACCTGAGCACATATTAAATGGGTAACCGGAATCTTCAGTGTCTGGAAAATTTTAAAATGCCCAAAGTGAGTTGCTGTCGTATCAGAACTACTGAATTGCTACACAGTGATTCCCAAACTTTTTGATCCAAAACCACCTACTTTTTAACAAAAGAATTCTTTACTTTTTCACACACTTTAGGTTGATATCTAAAATTTTTCACCCTAAGTTTTAGTTTCAAAAGATGTAATTTATGGCATATTATAATTATATAGACATTTAAAAATAAAACTATTACATCTCTTTAAATATAACCAAAGGAGTCTAAATATCATAGTGATTTTTATTCCTACCAATACTGACTTAAGAAACCTATGAACAGGTTTTATTTCTAAAAGTTGGAAATTTCACAATAATCCCTTTTTTCTCTAGAGTTTTACTTTCATTCATAACTCCCAAATTTTACCCAAATAATTATTTTAGGCTTAAGAGTCTTTAAGTTGTAAATTAAAATCTTTAAAAATTTGCTTGTAACCATAAGCATATTAAAATACTTTTTTTCTGTACTAAGTTAGTTTTAATGCTTTACTGTATATAATTAATCAAAAAGACGAATATCTAAATTTTGATTACTACACATGAAAAGTAACTTTGGGGGAAATTAATCTATTAACTTCCCCCCAAATTAAAAGAGAAATATGGGACCTTTTTCAAGTCTTCATGTATCCACAAATGAATACTAATTGCTAAAATCAGATAGCATTCAATATCAATTCTATTGGTTTTTTAATTTTATTTTGTGGGATGGAAGTCCTAAAAAACCATGTTATTGTAAACCAATAGTTGGGAACGGAAGGTGTTTTGTTACAGTTTTATCACTGTAGTCTTTGAATTTATTAAAGTTATAGACCAACAGTCATACTGTGATCTCATAAAAAGTGATTTTTACTTATCTGTTAGCTAATGACTCATTTAGGTTCTCCTTCAATTTTTTGAAAGTTAAGAACTGGAAACACTTGACTTAACAAGGCTTTGTTCCCCAATCATGTTTCTCAATACTGACACCAATACATCAAACTATCCCTCCTATCATAGCCACCCCAGATATTTTTACACTTTGGGGAAATAGGAAACACACCATAGTAGACAGTGAGAAGTCTTCTTTTCTTTTGTAAAGTAGGAGAACAGAAACACTTGCTCAGGCAGATTCATTTTAGGAAAGAATCCATATGGAAGTTGAGATCTGGAAAAGGATTCCCTTAAAACTATCTGTGCTCAAGCACCAGGTGGAAACCCTTTGTGTTCCCCCAAGGGTATCTCGGTTGGAAGGAGGCGGCTGCAATATATTTAAAAGTAAAAATCTGCAGAAGAAAAACAATGAAAATTTATACTTTAAATGTATTCTTGCTTTACCTGCATTACTCCTTTTGAAAGCAAGTTCTGCCCCAATGGGTCCCAATGACTTAGGAAATAATTGATTACTCCAAGTATATGGATTTATATCCTTTCCACTGGCTATCAAGGACACGTTCTTAGGATTTACACCTTAGAAGAACAAAATAGTCATTTAAAAGTTTAGAGTGTGATCATAAACTTGAAGGAAAAATACATTATACATACAAACAAAGATTAGAAACAACTTGGGGGGAGAGAATGGAAATAACTTTTGTTTACAGTATAGCAAATACTTGCTTTTTTTCTGAATCTTAACGTGATCCTAAACCCTAATAAGCACAATCCCCTGATATCCTCACAGTGTTTCATAAACATAAGATATTTTCTAAAACAATAATTAAACGGATTTTTTATTTTACTAAAATGTCTGGTAAAAATTACAGTGGTACAAAAATTTTCTTCAAAAAGATATTTCCCAGTCATCACTTATTGTGAGTATGTGCTCTGTGCCAGACCTTTGAGGACCACTCAGTGTGGTTGGGAAAACAGACACGTGGCCAAGAACGCCAGGAGCCTGGAAGTTCAGGGTAGAGGTGTAAAGGTCTGTCTGTGAAGCTTGCTTGTATATTAGGATAAAATCTAAACAGTTAAATTATTTCTGATTTTCTGAAATCTGAAATGTGGAGTCAACCTTAGGCTTTGGTACCAGTGATCAGAAGATGTTATTTTAACCCACTTTTAAGACACTGAAATCTTCTTGACTTGCTCTCTTTTTACTGACAATTACATTGGACAATTCAGTAGGAGACATCCCACAGTCTAAGGCTCCGGGTCACACCTGTGGCGTGTCTGTTAGCTAGCTGCTATGCTAGCACAGTGGAAATCCTCACTGAGGACTGCCAGTCCTGCAGGAAGTTAGCCACTGTTCCAGGCAGTCTGAGCTTTTGCTTTTCACAAAGCGAATTCCTCAGCAGGGCTTCACGTTTGTGAGATATATCATTGCAGCCTTGTGAAGCCAGAAACAAGCCTGCTTTTCTGTACCAAGCTTCCAGATGACCTATCATCCGTTTTCTAAGGAAAACACTCCATCAGGTAAATAATTTTCCTTTCTTATAAGATGTAGCTCCTTATGGATTTTGATTTCTAACAGAACACCTACAAATAGAACTACAGTAGGCTATATTACCTGACAATAAAGAAAATACACTAGGTAGCAATTACTCATTAAAAACATTTTTACAATAAAAAAATCTTTATTCAAAAACAAAGTGCAAACCCTTTCTAAACCTTTTCCTGTTTCATTCTTTTCTCTCCTCAATTACTGACTACAGGAGTGGATTCTTATTGGATTCCTAGAACTGAAATTTATATTGTTGCCTAAAAGGTAAATAAAAAAATACGTCACGCATCAATCTCTTGCTACCAGTCTAGTCTCAACCTCTTCTCTCATCTTCCTCACCCCTCCCAAACAAGCTTCTGGGAAGTGAAGACTCCCTTCTGGAGGCTGAGGTGTGGAAAGCAAACCTTCCTTAGATGAACCAGTGGCCTGCTTATTACATTCAGAAAGCTATAAATGATGATGCCCATGACAGCACAAAAGAAAAAGACCATCTCTTCCTCCTGCTGGACTAAAGATGATCTGCATAGATCATCAGTGATTTAAAAATTGATCCCCTTTGGACTTAATTGAATTTTAAACCTTTTAAAGTGGATTTTGAAGAGAAAATTCTACAACATAAACTCCCTACCATCTGTCTAGATCTTTCTCCTAAGCTCCAGATTAATATACCCAATTGTCTACTAGATACATCAACTCAGATGTTTAACAGGCATCCCAACCTTAACTCCTGATTCTCTACTTCCACACTCTGGTCCTCTTTTAAGCTTCCCTTTCTCGGTTAAAATCACCACCATCTACCCAGTTGCCAAGTCAAAAACCCAGAAGCCAACACTAACTCCTTCCATTCTTTACCATTAACCATCTAATCTATCAGCAAATCTATCAGTTCCACTACTGAAATACATCTAGATTTTATCCAGCTCTATCTGCTTTTACAGTTATGGAACACACCATTATCCGCGCTATCCAAACATACACAATAGCGTCTTGACCAACCTCCTTGCCTGTCTTGGGCCTCTAGCACAGTGGTTCCCAACCTTTTTTGCCCATGCCCCACCTAAGCATCTCTAAAATCCTGAAGCCCTCCCGGTGACATATAATTCTTATTATTCAAAAAGTGAACTCCCATTCACCTGGAGGAAGCCAAAAAGGCCATTAACTTGGTCTAAACAAATTTCCAAAAACATGAAAGAGAAGAATAAAAGAACAAAAGGACAGTTGAAGTACTGAGGAAAAAATCACTAAGAAATTGTTTAAAAAATAATATGAAATGATATGAAAAAATAGCAAATAAAGTTTCAAAACATAGCAGAGAACTGAAATGCATAAATATGTCACAATATATATTTATATACTCTATATGAAGCCACTAGAACAATGATGGCGAACCTATTACACACGTGTCAGAGGTGACATGCGAACTCATTTTTTTGGTTGATTTTTCTTTGTTAAATGGCATTTAAATATATAAAATAAATATCAAAAATATAAGTCTTTGTTTTACTATGGTTGCAAATATCAAAAAATTTCTATATGTGACACGGCACTAGAGTTAAGTTAGGGTTTTTCAAAATGCTGACATGCCGAGCTCAAAAGGTTCGCCATCACTGCCCTAGAACCATAAGAATACAAAAAATTCACTGTTAATAACTTATTTTCAAATTGCCCCCCTTAAAAATCAAATTGTCCCCCCGTGGGAACCACTGCTCTATCATGTTCTACTCAGCAGCCTAAATGATCTTTCAAAAGCATAAATCAGATCATTAAGGAAACAGTATAAACATCCTACATTTTCTAAAAAGCTGTAATGGGGTGTAAGCATTGTTTTAATAACATGTAGCATTTCCTAAAGGCATAGCTTTGCTGGGGGAAGGGTGCTATTTTTTTGAGTCATATTTCTAGGACAGACTTCACAGAAGCAGGAGGCCCAGAAAAGCACTTGGTAACAAGTACTGACATGGTTGAGGCAGCAAAGAGCATGTGATTGTATTATTTCACAGGTGCCCTTTCTAGAAAGATTCTAAGACACGTGAGCCTGACTTATCTATATTGTTAGCAGTAAACATTTTATTTCCTCTACTTACCTGGAAGGTACCGTGATTGCTTTAAGTAGTACTGTTTAGCTGTTGAAGCTGTTGATAATTTGGAATCAGATTTTAGGGAAATAGTAGCAGGTACGCTCTTGTTTTCCACTGCTGAGTGGTTGGAGCCTGAGGGTACGGACTCTGGAAGCCTTGGGAGTCAACATAAGGCAGCATTACAGGGGGAAGAGTGAGAAGATGACGCTATTTCTCACCCACCCTTTGCAAACGTTTTCAATATAGTCAAGGTGACCTCACAAATGGTGTCCATCAGAGTCTTTTTGCTGGTAGGAACACTAACTGACAACCTTTACCCCCAATAAATATGAGGCAGTGCATAGAATTATTTCTAATACTAGACATTACGTGACAGAAAGCTTTCTAACTGAGCACCAAATTGCCTGTGTATATGTTTCT